TTGCTCTTGATAACCATGTCATCCACGTATATCTCGATGTTTCTCCCTATTTGATTATGGAAGGCTCTATTAACCAAACGCTGGTAGGTGGCTCCAGCATTTTTCAGCCCAAACGGCATTTTGTCGTAACAGTATACTCCAATCTCCGTGATATAAGCCATCTTTTCCGCGTCCTCCTCGGCCATATGAATCTGGTGGTATCCTTTATACGCGTCGAGGAAACTGAGAGTCCTGTAGCCTGTAATACCTTCCACCATTTGTCGATTACGGGCAAGGGGTAACAGTCTTTTGGGCAGTATTTGTTGAGATCCGTGTAATCTTGGCACATACGCCAGGAATTGTCAGGTTTGCGGACAAGGACCGGGTTGGCCAGCCAAGTTGGCCAAAGCACCTCTTTCAGGATGTTGGCTCGCACAGTTTGAGGGTTTCCTCGTTAATTACATTACTGCGATCTCGAGCGAAGATCCTCTTCGTTTGTTTGACCGGTCTGACATTTGGATCAACGTTTAGCTTGTGCTCGATAATGTGTCGAGGAACTCCGGTCATATCGGATGACGACCACGCGAAGATGTCTCGAAAGGTCCGCAATAAGGCGATTATTTCAGTTCGTAACGCACTCCCAATGGATATCCCTAGTTTGATAGTTTTTCCTGGTTCTTTCTCGTCTAGGATTAACTCTTCCGTCTTACTGCTGAGTGGTGGGTTTTGCTCATCAACCGCGCTCGAGACCTCTTGCTTTCTCTCTTCATCTTCGACTTTTGCCACACTTTGCTGAATCGAGTAGCATCTTGATGTAGTGACTGCCAGCTCCTGCTTTACCGCTTTCTTCCCTACCTTTACTGCCGTGAGAAGACATTCTCTAGAGCTGCGTTGACAACCTTGGACTATTCCTATCCCATATTCCGTTGGGAACTTCATAACTAAATGGTAAGGTGACCATACATCGCAGGCTTGGCACATCCACGGCCGTCCTAGGATCACATTGAATGGCGAGGGAGCATCGGTTATGGCAAAATCCATAGTTAGATTTACTGTTCGAGGATACGTCCCTATCGTGATTGGAAGCCTGACGATCCCGCTTGGGATTATCGTGTGCCCGAAGAATCCCATCAATGGTAAGGTAGCGGGGCGCAAGTCTGGGTTTTGTATATTCATTCTCTTGAAACAATCATTGTAGATGATGTCGACTGCACTACCATTATCGACGTACACGCGACTTACCCCCACGTTGCCTATGATGGCCTCAATAACCATGGCATCGCTGTGGGGGCACACGCCGGGGACGACGTCATTGTCAGTGAAGACGATCGCTTCGGTTCCTTTAAATCGCTTGTGACTTGGCTCTTGTGGTGGAGTTTTTGTTACTTGCCGAACAGAGGCCTTTAGTGCCGTAGTGGAGAGGACTTCGAGAGGTGCTCCATAAATTGCTCCAACATTGTGGGTAATTTGCTTAGTGGGATCGAGAGGAGGTATCTGCTGTATAGGTTGCGGTTTGTTATCGAGAGCTGGTTGGGTAGGATATTGTGGATTATCCCTCGGCTACCAGTTGTTTCCTCGGTTATCTCTACGAGGCCCTCGATTATTGTTTCACTTGGGAAAATTGCGAGAACCGCCGGGTTTATCTCGAGAACTATGGGTATCTCTTCGAGCAGTGCCTTGCGTGTTCTGCACATATCGCTGGAATTTGCCGGACTTCACTCCCGCTTCAATTTCTCGCTTGAGCTCTCGACAATCCTCCGTGTCATGTCCATGATCCTTGTGATACTCGCAGTACTGATTCGTGGACCTATTCGGGTTATGAGCCAGTGGCTTCGGGGTTAGAAACTCGTCCTTATGGATCTGGAGTATTTCCCGTCGAGGCTTTATCAATGGAGTCAGTAACCTGTCAAGCCTGGGTAGCGAGGGTTTGTTCTCAACCTGAGGTTTATATCTGTCCTTTCCCCCTCGTTCCCCTGCGATTGAGAAAGATTCCTGGGAATTTTTTAGCGTTTGTTCCCGTTGGATATAACTTTCTACCATGGCCCACATCTCTTGAGTGTACTGTGGAGGTTTAGTGGTTAACTTTACTTGTAGGGGGGCAGACTTCCCCCAGGGGTTGAGCCCTTGGATGAAGCTATTCCTTACGTCTCTGTCATCGAGATTGTCAATTTGGAGAGATTCACGGGTAAACCGATGATGAAAATCTGAAAGGGTCTCATTGTGTCCTTGTCATATGGAGGATAAGTCAATGGACATTTTTGTGACTTGCTTGCTGAGGAAAAATCTGGTGGCGAGTTTTACTGTGAGATCCTCAAAGCTATCAACACCTTTCTCTGGCAACTGTCCAAACCACCCCTGTGCTTGCCCATCTAAGAACGACGGTAAAGCCTTCGCCATGAAGTCTAGAGATGCATTACGAATTCTCATGACTTGCACGTATTTATTAAGAAATCGCTGAGGATCATAGTCCCCTGTGTAACAGGTGAAGTCTTTAGGGAAGCCAAAATCTTTGGGTTTTGGACAGTCTCGAATCCTGGGGATGAAAGAACTCATGTCAATGATCATCCCTATCATCCTTCGCATCGAGTCTCGAATCGAAGGGTCCTGATTGCTCCGATTATCTTGATCCCGGGGAGGAGGGTCTTTTCCTCGACGGTGACCATGCTGTGATTTTTCGTGCGTCCCGTTTGGTCCCAATCGAGAGTGGACATTTCTTCTCGGGGGTTCTCACTCTCTGTTGGACAATTCCTCGATACTGGGTGATTGTCGGCGATCTTGTCTATGAGATTGTTTCTTCTGTTCGTGCTCCAGTGCAAACTGCTGAATCGCCTGATAAACCACCGGGTTTGTCCTTTCGAGTGCTTCCCAGAAAGTATCACCGGGGGCTTCGGAATGTTCGTCGCGAGAAACTTCTCGATAGGCAGTTTCTTTGCAAGTTCTTTCCTCCCCTCCGTTTGGGACTGGACGCTTGCCTCTTATGGTTTCGAGGAGACCCAGGGTCCTCCTCACTTCTTTTTCCTCGATTAAGTCTTTCATCTCTTGTTTTGTTGGGTCAGGAAGACCTAACAAGCAGCAGCGCTTGTACTCCTCGAGGATATATTTCTTTTTCCTTTGGTTGAGGGAATTATCATCCTTCAACTTTTTTAGTTCCGCTTCGATCTCGGCCAACCGCTGTTTCTGGTTCGGATCGAGGTTTTCGCGGCGACGATTCTGATCGGTTGGTTTGACAGGAGTGGTTACTTTTTTGGTTCGGCGATCATTCCTTTTCCATTTCTGCCTCCATTGGAAGTGTGCCAGAGTTTCGCCGTCCTCGGGGCTTGTCTGTCTGCCGGTTGACGCAGCGCTGGATTGGGGACTGTCGGCTCCTGCCATCCTTCCTGGCACTCGACCCAAGTCTGGAGGTGTTGGAAGCGGATCGAAAGTCTTTGAAAAAAGCTTGAGAAAGCTTAGTGACAAAAACCCTAGTTTTCGGGTCCCACCGGGCGTGCCACTTGACGATACTTGGATTTGTACCGTCGGTGTTGGGTGAAACTCCGACTAGGGTTTCCTGCAAAACAGAGCCTCGGGCGTCTCCCGAGGGTAGACACTCCGAAGCTTAAGTTAGAAAATAGGGTTATGTATGTGCTGATATGATAATTAAGATTGCGTACCTTTAGTGTGGAATAAAGGTCCCTATTTATAGACTTGGGGAAAATCCGATTCCTACTAGGGTTAACAATAATATACCGCCATATCGGGACGGTCTTGACCCTAGGGCCAAGTGGTGGGCCAGCCCAGTGACGGTGATGGATCTGGACTCGTCAATCAAACAGGCTAACAAACATATTTAGTTAGAACAGGTTTTTATGTTTTTGTACAGTACAAGAAATAGTTAAACAAAAACAGACTAGGAACCATTTTGTTATGTAAATTATTCGTTTGAGAAGTAATATATCACTTTACCTTTACCAAAAAAAAAAAAATCTTTTTTTAATCAAATTGGAATGTAACATATAATCCTTTTACAAATTAAAGGATTGAGAACTCTGGCAAATACATGAACCATGAAGAAATAAAATCTATTCTTTCAAATTAATTATTTTCCAACATATTTATGCAACTTTTGCCATTGAAAGGAAAAGAGACCTCCCAAAACTTTAAAATTTTTTTAAAAAAAGGAATAATCCTTTAAGTAATTAGAATATCACACATAGGATGAAAATGGCAAAACCACAAACTTGGAGTCTCAATTAGTCTGAGGAATAAGTCGGAAGAAGAAGATGGAGAAGATATTTATGCTTTTGGTTTGCCTTTTCAATTTGAGGAAATAAAAGGAAATAAGGACAGTTATGGAAAAACAACCTTTTTATTTAATTATCTTTAAGAGATAATTAACTGCTCCAAATTCAAATTATTTAAAAGGAGTACCCCGTTTATCAATTTAGTCATTTCTATTACCCTTAATCCAAAAATTTTCAAAAATAAAAAAATTTGTGCTCAATTTTATATTCAACTCTTTTTCTTATAAAATCCCAATTTCAACAATACATATAAACATTTCATGAAAAATTTATATCATTTGAAAACTGACGCAACAATTTTTAAAAATCGTCGTGCAACGCACGTGCATCATACTCGTTGAGATCAATTGGTAAGTTTTTCTAATACAGTTGGTGATGCGAATTTGAGCAGCATGACTACAATGCAGTGCTCTCCACCAATCCAACCAAAAACAAAGATTATTATCATAAAAAAAAACGTATTATTAAAATTGCCACACCATAAACTTGAACAGTTTCTCACCATCCCTCTGTCGGTGATAACTATATTCATCAACCAATTAATATTGTAGTAATTAAATAATATTAAGCATTGAGTGGTGTTACAGACAAATCGATGACAAAAAATAACTCGTAATGCCATTGTAGCGCAAACAATTCTATTGTAAAGCACGTCAAAAACTATCACTCTATACCATTATTTCACATTTATTGTATATCATATAATACGGGCAAACGTGCTACATCTGAAGATTAAAGTAGCTATCTGCCTGTGAAATCAGTGAAAGAGGCTGTGGCATTAGAGTTTGATAACAAAGGTTCAGACGTAGAAGAAAGGCAACGCCGCAAGACAACTACCTCAGACAGGGTAGGTCTCTCAGAAGGTTGTGACTGAGTGCAAATGGTGGCGATCTCGAGGACTTTCTTCACTTCTTCAACATCGTACTCGTTAGGGTCCATAGTCTTATCCACCAACTGTAGATGCTGTTTGATCTCACAAATCTTGCGTGCCTCTTATACGAAAATGGGAAATGTTGGTACTAAGATAATTTATTTGTGAAGAAGATAAATTTTTGCAATGAGATATATATACCTGCTCAAGAAGACTCACTGTAAGGCTCAACTTTCATGGTTCTTCTTATTCCGCTGATTATTTCAAGGGCTACAATTCCGAAGCTTAAGTATCAACTTTCTTTGTCAAATGTCCATTAGCTACATATTCTGGTGCTGCATAGCCTCTGTGACAATGCAATTACTCAAATTCAGTAAGATCCATGACTTTTTATCTTCGAAATTGATTTTAGGTAAATGAAGTACTAAAATTTATTGCAGCGTTTAAGTACATATCAATAATGAATACGGAGTATATAGTGTCATGAAACAGTACTGATACGAATATCACTTACAAGGTACCAGCAAATCTAGTGTTCAAATGACTCCGATCTTCAGGGAAAAGTTTCGCCAACCCAAAATCAGCAATCTTTGCCAGAAAATCATCTTCTAGTAAGATATTGCTCGACTTTATGTCACGATGAATAATGCAAACATGGTACTGTTCGTGCAGATATGGGATCCCCCTAGCTGTGCCTAGTATTATGTTAAACCGCTGCTTCCAATTCAGATGTCCTCTTTCTTCTCCTGTCAACATGAACATTAAGGATCGTCCAACGGAGCAAGTATCATTGATGAATGCAAGAGCAGAAGAGAAGAACATTTTGTATCCATAAGAAAAATCCGGTAACAATATATTCTATGTATTTTTGGAGATAAAGATTATACATACATTACCGTATAAATATTTATCTAAACTTCCGTTTGCCATTTACTCATAGACAAGGAGCAGGTCAGCTCCTTTTTCAGCACAGCCTAATAGGCGCACAGGATTCCGCTGGTGAACAATACTAATAAGTCTGACTTCACTCTCGAAATCTGCTTTTACCCTATCTGAAATGAGGCCAAGCTTCTTGACGAACTTTACCATCACTCAGTGTTCCCTGTGAATTATTTTCGCCACGATCGAATCATTCAGGACAGGAAAGAGGCATTTAAAAAACACTTTGATCTAGAATTGTATGAAATAAATGACCTTTTTACAGTGGACAGGACACCAACCAAAAATGATACATTACCTTGTACACCTCACCAAAACCGCCTTCTCCAAGTTTATTTCCTGCACTAAAATCTTTTGTTGCAGATTTTAGAACTTGATAACTGTAGACTACAGGAGCTTGCTGTTCTGCCAAACCTAAAACTAGGGCAGAGGAATAACAATGCCTCACAATTCCTCAAAAAAAAAAAAAAACTGCGTTTTGATGTAACAGAAATTTGAAACAAAAGTGCCGAAAAATAAAACAACAAAAGGAGGCAAGCTAAGTTTCCTTGCAAGTAGAGCCATCTTACTTGTCTGAACTTTCTTAGGTTTCCTGTATAGGCGATACGATAACAATAAAGCAGGTGGGATAACAAGGATAAGGCCGGCAACAACTCCACCAATAATTACTTTGGTGTTGCGTGATCTTCCTGAGAGATGCAATAATTCTCAGATCAGAAAACCGAATAAAACTATAAATACGAATGAATACTTGTTGTTTTGCGTTATAATGGTAAAGGTAGTTCTACTATAAGTTGTTGTCCAGAACAACAACAACAACAACAAACCTTTACCATATGGGAAAAAAAAAGAAGACATCTCTCACCTCCTCCTCCTCCTACATAAGGTTTGATGTCGGTTGTCTGGTTATCAGCAAAGAAAGGGGTGGCTGAATACCTCATAAAACAGCCTGCATCAAAACCCCTTCCATCTGTATTCGGTAAACAGACATCTATATTGTCATACACCAGCTTCAAGCAGAATTCACATCCACTCTGGCTGACTGTTTCCGTGCATTGAGCCACCGCGTAGACAGCATCACTACCATAGCTCAATTGCCACTTTGATGCAGCAAAGAATCCGTTCATTCGCGGTATCGCCAGTTTAAGATCCTGTAACAAAGCTTCAGTCTGAGTTTGAAACCAGTTGGCTGTCATGCTGTTTGATTGCCATAAATCTGACCATTTCCTGAATTAGTAGCCTGGTCAAAGAAAAATGAAGCCTCCTGCCTAAAAACTGAACAATTTTTTTGTTCATAGCCTACAGAACTTTCAACCTCAATCATCAGAATACCTTCTGTAGGATTAAAGAGATACTATTCCCAAAAAGAAGAGGGATTGGAAAGCTGAATCATTGTGCAACTAATGGACTAACTTCTTCAATTGCTGCATGTTGGATTCTTCACTTTAAACTCAATTCTGAATTATGAATCCTTTAGTACGAAATCTCATTCCCTCCTAATTTCAACATTTTCTAGTACGGGCTACAGAAATACGTTTGTGAAAAAAGCAGTTCCATACAGTAATTGACAGAATTTATCATTCATATGCTTACGTTCAGCAATGATCATTCATTACTCCTCCATGAACTTACAAAGAAAGTCAACTCTTTGAACTTGATAGTTTTCACTATAAACAACTTTATGTTAATCTATATTTGTATCAGAATCTCGTTGCAAGCCTGTTTCAACAACTCAATAATTCATCATCTAGAAACAGAATTTACAGTAAGGCAGAGCTATCCTGAAACAGGACAATTCCGAACTCATCTTGCAATTCTTTGTCTTAAAAATCTTATCTAAGTTAAAATCTTACTCTCAAATGATACAATCTTTCGAATTATTCTCATTACAATGAAGAGAGGACAAAACCAAAAAAACGAAAAAAAAGAAGTAATAATAATAAAACGTAAAAAGAATTGAATATACCTGAGGTAGCAGCCATCAGATAAAAAACGAGCTCCATTATAAGGATAGCATTTGTTGATCTGGGAAGCAGCAGTATCGAAACAAGAAACACAATCAGCAATATAAAGGTAGTTCCTACATTGGAACAACATGAAAACCGGGTCCGAAGTCCACACTTCCTGTGCTGCGGCAAAATGAGTGTTATCTTCTGATATCTGGTTTCTAAGATCAGCTAAAGACGCATTAAAATTGATGCCAACATTTGTGATATTATCAGCACGGTACTTCGTGTTGCATCCCTCATTTAGCAAAGTGGTTTGTGGGTCTGAATTGGCTGATTTAAATGATATTGATACTGCAAGAAGAAGTGCCACCATTGCCTGATCAAGGACCAGCAAGTTACCATGTCTTGGCTGATTTTGGCACGAAAGAATGTTGGGACACAGTTTTGAAACACTTTCTTATTTTGCGGAAATTGTAAAACTCAAATAAAGGAGACTAATTGCTGACTTAGACCGGCGAAGGCTTCAAGTCAACCATTTTGTTTCTGTCACAACTCACAAATATTCAAACGAAATCCATCAAATATGTAAATCCATTAATCACCCCATAATGACGTAAATAGTGTTTCTTATGTTTCACAAAACTAATTCACATTATAAATTATTTGTGAATTAGGATTGTGGAGGCGGAGAGAGTATTAATTATAATGACAAGTCTCCAATCACTAACACAAATAACTTACTTACCATTTTTTTTTTTTACAATGAAGGAGGCCAATGGCCTAAAATACTAAACGATCACATCACAATCACGTGAATGGAAGTTCAGAACCAAGTCATATTCCAACTAAGTGGGTGAGATACAAAAAATCTAATAAAAAAACAACTCACTTTTCATGCCTAGCATTATCTTTATATCTCTGATAATTCCTCTATAAATACCCAAATTATGTTTCTGGCATAATCAATCAAGGTAATGATATATCATTATTTAATTAATGTCACACTGTATGTGTTAAAAGTAAAAGCAACTCCCAAGACTCCGTCCCTGATTATAATTCAAGCATGAGGAGTGATAAGGTGTGTAAGAGTGATAAGGTTGATCATGCTCTAATAATAAGAGATGTGGATGATGGCAAGTAAGTTTAGATCAATTCAATCCCGGCAGGTGATCACTTCTGTTAACGTATTAGTTTAAGTGATAGTTACGGTTAGCAAAGTAGTTATCACTTTTGTACTATGAATCCATAAAAAGAGACTCATAATCGATTCCATGTGTGAAGTCTTTAACAGAAGTAATAAACAAAAAGTCCAAACCCTAGCTCTACATTAGTTTTTCTGTTTTATTGTATTTTTTAAGTTTTCTCTTGGTATCAGTAAGGTTTCGACCTGTTTTTTTTTTCTTTGCTTCCGCTTCATTACAATCATGGCTTCTTCTTCCATGTCGTTGAATGTCGGTAATTTTGTCACCCTTAAACTTTCCCCAACTAATTATCCTCTTTGGCGGGAACAAGTTCTTGCTCTCGCAGAAAGCCAAGAGCTCATTGAGCATCTCACTCAATCACCACAAATTGATCCTAAACCATCAGTTTCTGACTCTGACAAAGCTTCTTCTGGGTCTCTACAAAAATTTGCAGCGTGGCAAAAGTCTGATCGTTTGTTGAGAGGCTGGATTATCGGTACTCTCTCCGAAGAATCCCTCAGACTTGTCATCGGTTTGGATACCTCACATGCTATCTGGATTGCTTTGAAAGATGCCTACGCTCGGGACTCTCAAGAGCGGGAATTCACAATCCGACAAAAATTAACATACCTTCGCAAAGATGAAGGAAAATCCATTGCTGAACATCTTCGTCTGTTCAAGAGTTTGTGGGATAGTCTTCTGGCTATTGGCAAGCCGGTTCCAGATCAAGAGAAGGTGTACTGCTTCCTCAATAGTCTCGGTCCTCAGTACGAGACATTCACTACTTCTATGCTCAAACCACCACGACCTTCTTATTCTGAATTAATTGATCAACTTCAGAACCTTGATCAGCGACGCACTTGGTTCTCCACTTCATCTGAGGTTCACATGTCTCCTCATGTTCCTCATCTTGCCTTCTATACTCAGCATCAGAAGTCTTCTTCGCCTTCTTCTGGCGGGAACAAACAATTCACGTCTCAGGGGCGTGGTTTTCAAGCCCAACAAGTACCAGCTTCTGCCCCCAATCAGTCTTCTTCCCCAGCGTTTGCATCCCGCAACAACCAGTCTCGCAAACCTGCACCTCCAGGAGAACGTCATATGACACCGGCTGAACGAGATCTTTATCACAGTGAAATTTGTCAATATTGTGGGAAACTCGATCACATTGCCAAGATTTGTTGGTTTGTTCCAAAGATTTCCGATCATCCCTCTTCGACCTCTACTCTTCCACATGCACTTGCAACCCTCACTCTTGATAATTCCGTTGTCGATTGTGACTGGTCCTCTGATTCCGCCACCACCAGCCATATGACTGGTAATCCAGGTATGCTTCATAATGTTCGTCCTTTTAATGCTTCTGACTCTGTCATTGTTGGTGATGAGTCTTCAATCCCAATAACAGGAATCGGTCAATCATCTCTTCGTCCAAACAACAAGTCTTTACCTCTTTCGAATGTTTTGTTTGTTCCATCTTTAAAAAATAAATTTACTTTCAGCTGGTTCATTAACTTCTCAATTTCCGGTTAATTGTGAATTTTCTGATGTTGGTTTTTTCATAAAGGATCGGTATACAGGTCGGCTACTAATGAAGGGGCACAAGAAAGATGATCTCTACACTATTTCCAATCATCCCCAAGCTTATTTTTCCTATCGTTTTAAGTCCAAAAACAGTGATTTGTGGCATCAACGTTTAGGACACCCTCAAGAGTCTATTATTTCTCGTTTAAAGCATAATGGTCTTATTAGTGTTAATGGTTCTCTCCGTACTTCTCATTTATGTGATAGCTGCCAACTTGGCAAACTTAGTAAACTTCCATTTGATAGGTCTGTTAATAAGACGAACGCTATGTTTGACAAGATCCATTGTGATCTCTGGGGTCCTGTCCCCGTTGTCTCTTTGAATCAATTTCGTTATTATGCTTGTTTAGTGGACGACTTCTCCAAGTTTATGTGGTTTATTCCTTTAAAGCACAAGTCTGATTTTACTTCGGTGTATTTCGCTTTTGAACAATTTATTTTTCGTCAATTTAATACAAAAAAAGGTGTTCCATTCTAATGGTGGAGGCGAATTTATTAACTCCACATTGTCTTCACATTTCATTGCCACAGGAACTATTCATCAAGTGTCATGTCCTTATACTCCCAAGCAAAACGGAACTATTGAACGACGCCATAGAATGATTCGAGAACTAGGCATGACGATGTTGTTCCACAGTCAATCTCCTCTCTACTTGTGGACTGAAGCCTTTGCCACAGCTGTTTATTTAATCAATCGACTTCCCTCGTCCACTTTGAATTTTTCTATTCCCTACTTTATGTTGCATAATTCTCATCCGGATTACTCCTCTCTTAGAATATTTGGTTCAAAATGTTTCCGTATGTTTGGGATACAAAATTAAATAAATTCATCCTAAGTCTATTCTTTGTGTTTTTGTGGGTTATATTGAAAAACATAAAGGATATAAATGCTTTGATCCCATTGGAAAAAATTCTACATTTCCAGGCATGTTGTCTTTGATGAAAAATGTTTTCCGTTTAAATCTTCGGCGGCACCTTCTTCACAACATGCTTCTCAAATTTTTGATTCTTGGTTACCTTCATTCACTGACCCCGTTTCTTCTCGTGCAGGATCTTCGGCCTCCAATGATATTCCCCTTCCTGGAAGACGTTGGTCCCCTCCCATACTCCTCTGATCACCGACAATGTTGACATTGATTCCACTTCAAATTCTTCCTCTCCTTTTTTGTCGCCAACTTTCTCTACACAACCCTCCTCTGATAACAACTCCTCTGACTTATCCCCTTCCCAGTATCCGTCACCTGTACAACCACACCATCCAATGATTACCCGTTCCCAGCTTGGCGTGATAAAACCAAATCCCAAGTACGCACTCACGGTTACCCTAGCCTCTTCTGTTCCCCGTGAACCCAAATCTATTAAATCAACAATTGCTCATCCTGGATGGAGTCTTGCAATGAAAGAAGAACTCAAAGCACTCCATCAAAATCGTACGTGGTCCTTAGTTCCTCGGACTCCTGATACGCATATTATTGGCTCAAAATGGGTTTTCAGAACCAAGCTTCATCCTGATGAAACATTGGACCGCTTGAAAGCGCGATTAGTCGCAAAAGGATATCACCCAATGGACGGCCTTGATTACATTGAAACATTTTCTCCGGTCATCAAACCTGGTACTATCCATCTAATTTTATCCATTGCTCTTATGAATAGCTGGAATATTCGCCAACTCGATGTAAAGAACGCTTTCTTACATGGTTTCATTACCGAGGATCTTTACATATTACAACCTCCAGGTCATATTGATTCTAATTATCCTGATCATGTTTGCAAACTTCACAAGGCTTTATATGGATTAAAACAAGCTCCAAGAGCTTGGTTTGATTGACTTGGTCGATTTCTCCTTGATTACGGTTTTTTTATGTAGCTTGGCGGATCCATCTCTATTTGTCTTTGACTCTTCTCGTGGCTGTTTGATCTTATTAGTCTATGTCGATGACGTGTTATTGACATGTTCCTCTTCTGAACTAATTACCTCATTTATTCATGTCTTATGTTCAGAGTTTTCTATGAAGGATCTCGATTCCCTTCACCATTTCCTGGGAATTGAAGTCTCTAAACTGGATGATGGCTTACTGTTGTCTCAAACTCATTATGCCTTGAACATTCTGGAATGCTGCAACATGACCGATTGCAAGCCAATGCCAACGCCACTCGAGACAAAGTTTCACGTTCCTAACTCCTCTTCTCTTGATGATCCTTCATCTTATCGCAGCATTGTCGGAACCTTGCAATACTTAACCTTGACAAGCCCGGATCTTGCCTACAGTGTGAATTTTGTATCTCAGTTTATGCATGCTCCAACGCTCGAACATATGCGCATTGTTCATCACATTTTGCGTTATGTGAAAGGTACCATTAGTCTCGGCCTCCATCTTCGTGCCTCTCCTGATTCACGACTGACTGCCTTCTCCGACGCTGACTGGGGCAGCTGTCCTACAACTCGACGGTCAACCACCGGCTACTGCACCTTTTTTGGTCCAAATCTCATCTCATGGTGTGCAAAAAAACAGCATACTGTCTCCCGATCAAGTACTGAAGCCGAGTATCGTGCCATGGCCAACACCGCTGTTGAGCTTACTTGGCTAACTTACATCCTTCAAGATCTTCGGGT